TCCACTTTTTTTTTCTGTCTCTGTTTTGTAATAGCGTTCAACGGGACTGGCTGTTCACTCGAACCTTTTCGTCTATTGCTCCGTTTTCTCTCGGTAGAGTCAAAAATGCGTTGCGCACAAAAAGCTAGATAGGTACACGCGGATATATATTTCGCGGCCAAAGAAATGGCGGTTTGCACGAGAAACGGGGTCGTGGAACGAGGCTTTTCTATTCCTTTTCTCCTCGATCTACCGTTGCGTCGCTGGTTCTTCATTTCGACAAGAAAAAGTACCGACGTCGTGACAATTTCTGATGAAAAAAAATTGAAGCTAACCCGAGTGCAATTATTTCGAGGTCAGAGAAGGCAATTTTGATGTTTATCGATAGATAAACAAGTGATTTTCGGACAGAATCGATCATTCGATATCTTAACTTTAACAATAAAATGTTTGTAAAATGGGGTCCATGATCAAANACACACACACACACACACACACACACACACACACACACACACACACACACACACACACACACACACACACACACACACACACACACACACACACACACACACACACACACACACACACACACACACACACACACACACACACACACACACACACACACACACACACACACACACACACACACACACACACACACACACACACACACACACACACACACACACACACACACACACACACACACACACACACACACACACACACACACACACACACACACACACACACACACACACACACACACACACACACACAAAATTTCTTGGTCGTAAATTATTCGTAAATAGATTCGACATCGTGAGGAGAGATTGGAATCACGTAAAAACCAAATCCATTCGTGAATAGGGCCAGACCTCGTTTACTCGGAATCCCCGTTTCCCCTGCCTATCGGTGCTATTCAGTGGCCTAGCAAAGCAGCACTCTTTGTTCTCGTCAAAGCAACAGCATATACATATAAATTGTCCTATGAACCCGCCGTCGCCGAACAGTTACTCGATTCCCCATTTATTAACCAGGAATTATCGATTCATTATTAATGGCGACATGGCGTTCAAGCGAGTGAACTCTTTGCTTGTTTTTACGAATAATTGATTTTTGCTTTCAACCGCTTTGTAATTGCTTGCTGCAGCAGCTAAAACCCTTGACTCAAGTTGGATCGTTTTTGTTATGTTACCTTTCGTTTCTTCTTTTTATTAGATATTATTATAGTTTATAGTTCATATTTTCTTAGCCCTATCTACGTACGTTATATCCTACATATATACAGATTTTTGAGATTTTCCACTCGGAGAACGGGTTTTTAGTTGGCTCCGCTGACGATAGCGGAGCACCGCCCGTTCCGCACTTCATCTATCGTCGTTCTCCCCTTCTCTTTCGTACTGGCATAGTTATGAATTATTTAGTTATAATACTTGGTGTATTATTTGCGAGAACGTTTGGTATTGAAGGGAAAGACGGGTTTACTACTATTCGATCTCGTTCATTCGAAATTCTACGCGTGATCCGTTTCGCTTCGTACAGAAATCAAAAATGGCTTCTAATGTCGCTTGTCCATCTAATCGTAAGGGTGGCCCTCGTGGGGCCACCCGTGTCTACGTATTACAAAGAACGGACGATACCGAAAACCTGCGAGTTTCTCTAATCTCAACGATAAAGACAGTCGTTCAATTGAGAGTAAACCGTTAAAGAGGTATTCTCGGGGCTGTAGTGATTGGTAAAGTTTTACTCTCACGGACAAGTATTAAGCAACACACGTTCACGCGGATACGTAACACAAGTCGTCTCGAGCCGAGGGAACGTTCGTTCGCTCGATCGTTGAATTTTCTGGTTGTCTCGAAACAACGGAAAAACATTGCTTGATGATTGGCAGCGATTGGGACGAATTCGAATATATCACACTCACGATCACCTAGTTTAACGAAAGAGTCGAACAGCACACCGTTGTGATTCGATTTCGCGCGGAAAGAAAAACATCATCTGAAAGATATTCGAACACGATAAAAATCGCAATTAAAAACGTTCTCGTCATTTCATTCTCGGCGCTACTTAAATGGACATTCGTTAATTATTGTACTTATAGTTTTATACAGATAGGTATATCGTACGATGCTTCTCGTTTCTTCTTTATATAATTCTATTTATGAACATAGTGGCAGAGACGGGCAAAATTTCAGGCAAGTATCTCGAATAATCGTAAACGATAAAATGGTTGCTTTTGTTCTCCCGTTTGTCGGAATAATCGGCGGAAAGATAATGCGAAAGATAACGTGCTCGATCGAATAAAATGAACAGCCGTTGGATACATTGTTTTTCCTCTTCGTTGTACATTATTCGAAGAAAATTTTTCCCATCTCCGCGTGCTAGATGCAGTCACGAGGAACTCGTCCGTATTTTCTTGTTCTGTCTACTTTTTCGCTTCTTTTCCATTTTCTTGTTGTCATTTATTATACTACCAAATCTTTTATTATGTTTGTTCTCACACGAAACGACAGTGATGAAAGAACGCCTCCAGAAATGTCGGTGGTATTCCTGCTGAATCGGAAAATTATTCGCGCGAATGACGTTTTCTATCACCTGGTACATGTTCTTCAAGTCGTCTACGATGCACGGGGGACGCGAACGAATTTGTTAATCCCTAAGCAGCTGTCCATCGTTTCACGTAACTGTGATGTGTCGACCGGTACTCAACCAGCGATATTTGAAGAGGCAGCCTTTCATCTTCGAAGATATATCCGTCGAAAAGAAAGGAATAGCTACATGTTCGTGACTAGATTCTCGAATGTCGAAACAGTGAAATTTCACGGCGAAGAAAGCGCGGTAAAATATATACTTTTTATGTTTATATATATCTCACTGGTAAAAAACGTTCTCCGTATCACGTTTGCGGAACCACGAGTAATTTCTGGATTCTCTACGATGACCTAAAATTCTTCGAAACTTTCTTAATCTCTTCGTACAGACTAAGCTATGTACACAAATAATTTACAGCATCGAATTTCTCATGATCTTTCCCCTCTAATACCAAAATCAAAAGAAAAAGAACGAAACTGAACGAACGTTACAACAAATCAACATTTCAAGTTGCTAACCTTTTCGTGTTTTATTTTGTATGCATCGTCGATATAAGTATGTTCTTTGATTCTTAAATGCTGTACAGGAACATTTACTTGTGTAATCGTTTAATCGCTCGTTTATTATTATTTATTTTTTCCATTTTCTCTTTATTCAATTATTTCGTATCAATAAACCTATAGTTAGTTTGTCGTTAAAGTACTTCGTTTATACCTACATATTTCGTTTAAATAATTGAAGATACCATTGGGTTTTAAATCGATGAAAATAATGATTCTTAAATTCCAAAAGTGTTTTCTGTATGTGTGTCGCGTGATGCCCGTTAATCAATCAATCAATCAATCAATCAATCAATCAATCAATCAATCAATCAATTAATTAATTAATCAAAAGGAATATTCTGATCGTTTGTGGCCTGTACAAGTAGTGAAAGAGCGCGCAAAGGACCCGGCCTACCACATCGCTACCACAATAACGCGTTTCCTCGTTGCAATGTTCAACGAATAAGAAGACTCGCTCTTACAGACTTGGTCGGGGAAATGATTCAAAGATTTTCCTGGACGGTCGTATTCTCTTATTATTTTTCTTTTTATTTTCTAGATTTATTCGGGCTTCAGGAGAACGTTGCGAATCAAAATAATCTCACAGCATATCCAGCATAATGAAAAGATATACACGTTCTACCGAATGAAATACTTTTATCTAATACTATAAGATGTATATAATACTTCCAACGTCTCTCTACTACGGTTACAATAATTTAATATCACGAAAATGATTGATATTTTAGAAAAGTAGCTTTTGTATCATTTGAATGAAAAATGACCGCGCACGTTTAAACAAATCGAAAGAATTCGAGATTCGGAAATACGACGTGATATACAGAGATAAGTTATACTATACGCAATCGGGAATCATTTCAAATGTGTGTAGTAACCAGATCTGCTTTTACTCCCCTTTACGTTGCCAATAAAACTCCTTAAGTATCCCCAAAAATACATATATGGTATATCACGTTAAAATTGTGTTTATGCTTCGATTGCATGGATTACTTTCATTTCTCAATTACACTAAAGAAAACGAGTAAATAATGCAAGTACATATATAGAGTATGAAACAAAGTTATCGAGGGTTCGAGATTATATAAAATTGTAAGAACGTCGAAAGACACGGTCAATGATGGGTCCTTCGCGCGACAAATCGGGAAGAAAACACAGTGCAACGTCCGAGAACGCAGCAGCAGAAGATTTCGAAACTAAGCGGTCGGGTCTCTTTTCGGAGTTATTCACGTAAATAGTAGCGAATATAAAATCATTTCCACACGAATATGCATCCGTGTCATTTGTTAAACGTTTTCTGAATGATGTTTTTGTCTAATTTGCCCCACCCCCCACCCCTCACTACCATTCTTATCTTTCTGTGCTTGTCATGTTCATTCTTAATTTATTTCTCTCGTACAATAACCTCGCATCCTCTCAAAAAATTCTATTACTTTAATTAAATATAATTTCTCTCTCTCTCTCTCTCTCTCTCTCTCTCTCTTATATAAGTGTACATATACGTATATATGTATGGATACATATATACATATATATACATATATAAATAGTATATATATATTTATATATTTGTCATATACATTTGTCGTGTTAGTAATTAAATAGCGTTTACTCGCCTAAAGTGTGTAGATTTTCGGCGTTTCCTCTCCGCGAATGGAGAAAACAAAAAATAAATCGTTCGAAAATCAAAGAGCCGCCGGAAACCTTGATGTAAGGCTTTGTTCCTCCCACGGAAGAACATATTTATTTATTCATTTATTTATTCATTTATTTATTTATTTATTTAATTATATATTTATACTTATATTTATATGTATGTATCATTTCGTCCTCTGATCACCGGTCGTTACCTCTTTCTTTTTCTGTTCTATTATTTCTTGTTGTTTTGTTCTTTTTTTTTCTCTCTCTCTCTCGATCAAATACCAATCGTTTGTATCGATCGATCAGTGTCTCGCAGCGTATGTACGTACGTTCATTTATCAGCCCAAACGTATATGCATACGCAATAATATATTGATATAGAAACAAAATATAAGTGGAATTTGTTTAATATATACGTGTATAAAAACTTCATTAGACGTTAAGTTATCTTTATCGCCCGGACCCCCTTTCACTCGTCTAGGTCAGAAACGTCCTCGATCATTTCACCGTTCTCTTAACATCTGCATGAAAATAACGGTTCTGCGGTTCACGATATCCGAACCTCGTAATTATAGGAAATAAACAATATGCTTCGGCCGAGTGTGTGCTTTTGCCCAACGTAGATTCACGCGAACCTTCTGTTCACGTGTTTCCACTTTGATTAGCCTTCGAAATTTTCTTAAAGGTTTACGTAATGTTATACAGAATGAATCGATGCATATTAGTGATGTAACGAAAATGCATTGCTTTCCCTATAACAAGTTATTAGTCCGTCGTGCTATTTTCTTAAATTAAGCAATGGCTGGTCCAGACAGAAATCGTTAATTCGATACCATTTAATCCTCTATGGTTCCTTAATATCATCGAAGAAGTACTTAAATACAATAATTACACGAATGCAGATGTAACCTATTCAAATAAATCTCGCAAAAATCTAATTCCTCTCCGAAGTTTGCCATTTCATCTGAAATGACTCCTTCTCAAACAGAATTCAATCAACCGATATTTCTTGCCACTATATTTCACCGAATCTGTGCAAACTAGTCGATATCAGAACAATTGTTCGTAGTACTTAAATCTTCAGCTGTGTTGTTTTTTTGCAAGATACACTGCAATTATAAATATAATCTCTAGAGAAAGTAAAATTAAAATACAAGTTTCAATCCGTGCCTAGATTCTATTGTCAATAAGGATATCAAGTTCGATAATGATTCGATATTATAAAACGTTTGTTATCGACACAATACCAAGCAACTAAAAGAATATTCAAAGTATCGTATCGTTCTATAAAATATTTTAACATTATTAAAACAGTTCGTTAAAAAAAAAGAAAAAGACATTTACCAAACCAACCTTGCTTCCTACTAACAACTTCTGCTAATTATATATAGTTCGTATCTATAACTGACACTCCCTTTCTTTCGGTTCGAATCATGGAAGAATAGAAACAATAGTATCTACCCGATACTACCTGATAGTCCTAGCCCAGAGCTGATGGAAGTGTTAAAAGAAATCAGTCAGCGGAACAAAGTTTACGTTGTAAAGTTAAATAAAGATCATGATGAATCACACATGGAGATTAAATACATACTAATAGAAATTAGGACAACTTAATCCTACGATTAATCAAGTATCATCTCGAAGTAATATCATGTTTTCAACTCAGTATGGTCTAAGTTCTAAAACTTTTTCGAATCCAGAAGTATGTATGTACATAGCTAGGGATTATACTTGGTTATCACGTCGTAACTGCGATCCGCTGATTTCTGATCATTAGAGTACACGGTCATAGACTATCGACCAGAACCGAGCGCGCAGCTGGACGTCATTTTGTGCAATAGTATTCAGGACGATAAATAGTACGCTCAGAAGTATACCGTAGCGTTACCGAGGCCATCTGCAGAAGTGTTAACGCAGTTTAAAGAGCGTCGTCGGTCACGTTATTTGCTCGTACCCGAAAGAAAGATACCAGGGAAGAGAACAACAGTGTCGGGCGCAGAAACTGAACAACACTCCGCCAGATTTTCCGACTCGCAACGTCGCTTTCTGTCTCCTTCTTTCAAGATCGGCCGCGGCATGAACAACGGAAAAAAGAAGGCAGGATCAAGGAAGACCTCGTCTAACGACGCTCGATTGTTGTGTATCGAGCAACCTGCGGGACGGTTCTAAGATAATCTTCACTATCCTTCTCGCCAAAGACAAGCGACTAGTCAGTGAAGATTCGTTAACCTAGTCTAGGAAACTAAACGGAACATAGTGCCAGTATCAACGCACGAAACTATCATCGATGGCCGTCTATCCAGCGAGCGACAAGACGTTCAGGGACAATCAACTTTCTCTCGTCACCACGACGCGGCTCCGTCGATCTATAGAGATTGTTATACAGCCCTTCAACGATCCAGAGATCTCTTCTTGTTAGGGCCGCGTCGTTATCACGAGGCTTCGAAGTCGGAGAAATCGACCTCAGCCAGCCGATTGTCGTAGGAGTCTCGTCGAGATCGTTCAGGCCCGATTGAAAGAAGGAAAAGAAAGTAGAATCTGTACGGTTTCGTTCTCTTCCCCTTTTCTTCGGTCATTGTTCGTTTCTTGGTGTGTCTATCTTCCCCTCCCCATTTAATGGTAACGCATGCGTCGAACGAGATTCGCAGAGCAGGATGAAATAAAATCGAGTCGGTTCTTCCGATGTGGACGACGATGTAAACGACGAGGACGAAACAGTTGGAACTTGCGTTGCCGCTGCTCTATCCTTTTCCCCTTTTCCTCGATCTTCGACGATCAAGCCGATCCAACGAATCGCTTGTTCAAGAAGCTCGTGCTGCCGTACGTTTCTAATATTTTCTCCTTGCCCTCTCCGTTCCTTTCTCCCCCATCCGTTCCTATCATTTCCCCTTTCCAGCCAAATCTCCCCCTCCATCAACCTCTCTCGTCCCCTTCAACCCCTTTCTCAGCACTCGCAGCTTTCTTTCTTTCTTCCTTTCCCTTCGCTTCCGAACCTATCGCATTCATTTATCGCACTGTTTCGCTAGTGCTTTCCCTCTCCAGTTTCTCTATCTGTCTGATCGCCTCGTCGTGTTATCCGCTAAACGAGAAGGAGTAACTAGGGCGTCCCAGGTGATGTAATCGCCATCAGGGGCGCTGGCGGCAACGCGACCGGTATGTGATAATATTTACACTGGGGTCGCATGCACGCGCCCTTCACTGCGTCCCTGCACACAGTTACGCGATTCTCGATCACCTCCACGTTTCCTGTAACATTAGGAGAAGAGATTGTTTAGCGACTGGATAAAACGATGGGGGTCAACACGAGCTTTCTGTGCTTGGCTTATTTGGACAATTTTCGACGAACCTTGTGCGTGATTTCTCGGAATTCCATTCTCAATGAAAATTCGAACATAACGTTTTTCTTTTTTAAACGTCCAAGACAACTTGTGCTGCACTCTGTTATTTGGCACACTTTTATATCCGAAAAAGTTCTGCTTACGAAGCAGAAATTATTACACTTCATTTCGGTGCTGGTACACGGCTCAAAAAAGTTTTATTCAAAATTTAACCCTTTGCATTCGAAACTGTTCAATTTCCACAACGCAGACATTTCTTTTGACCTTAACATTTTTTAACACGTTCCGTGCCGAGCTTTTTTTACTCGAATCTTCACACTTTGATATTTTACTAAAACTTGATGTATTACGTGCAATTATTAATTCTCGTATACATAACAACGTAACAAAAACTTATCAACGCCCATTCTTGCGGTGGAAATTGATTCTTCGGTTCTAAATTTCTTGTAAACAATTTGTTCAGTTCACTAAGTAAACATGCAAGCGTGTACCATCGATGGTACACGTGGCACGGAACGTGTTAATCTATGCCATCGTTTTCATCTCGTATAGCATATCGGGAAGTACAAACTGTAATTATGGAATGGTTAACGAACAATGCAACTTAAGATCGCTTCTTTATTTCGTTAGGACGAAAAAATATTGAAAAGTAGCCGCGATGTTTTAGTTGTACGATGTAACAAAGTATGTGTTCGCAAAATTTTCTTCCAAAAATCACAAGTCATGTCTGTTTTACGAAAAGTAAACGGTCTTGTTACCGTTACAATCTTATGTTCTAAACTCAATCGAGATATAAAAGTGTGCACTACAACTATAGCAACCTGTACAATAGCAACAATTTTTGTGGAATTTATAAAATATTCATTGATTGGTAATAAGTTTTCTGCTTTATAGCAGAAAATATATAAAGTATATTATTAGAAATCTGTAACGTTTGGCGAATGACGAAAGAAAATAAATTTAGCATCAAGTGACAGTTAATAAACACTATAACTTTTTTTTTTAAGTTAACGTGACTCGGAAGCAGTGATTACAAATTAATTTTGTAACAAGCGGAGAATATTAATTATCTTTTCTATGGAAACGTGTATAAACATTAACATCATTTTGGATCATTGAATGTTTGAAAAATATTGCAATGAAATTTCATGGAAAGTGTTTTCGTCAAGTGGATACAGAACAGGCAATAACCATTAACATTCTTACAAACAGCTTCCCTCGATCAACTTTCGGAAAGTCCACTGAAATAAAGAAACAATTACATCGTCGTGCGTCAGAAATCTAAAAAAAAAGTGAGAAAATACAGGAGAAGAAACTGCGAAGCGAGTTTAATATTTGATTAGTGTTCTGCTGTGTAAGAGTTCCGAGGAGTGCGAGATCCTCAGGGGGCGCAAACAACCCCGATCAACTCGAACGAATGAAACTTACCGTCACTGAGATGGATAAACTTGCAGGCGGGACGGTTGCACACTTGTCGATTAAAATCTTGGCACACCGGGAGGGTGTCCAGTAACTGAAAGAAAATGTGCCAGGTACTTTTATAACAGGTACTTGCCAAGTGCTCGCGAACAGTAGTTACAACAAAAAGGGGACAACTCTTACAGTATCTCACCTCAAGCACACGGAACACAGAACCACCAGCATCCATTCATTCTCTCACCACTTTCAAAAGGAGACAAATGAATTTTGTCTCTCGAACATCATCGAGCACATTCAGACAGTTCAGTGTTAGAGCATATGCACGGTACATTACATGCTCTAAAAAATCGGATCGTAATACGAATATTTATTAATTACTACTGGTGCGCGAATAATCGACAGATTGTTCACTGAGAGAGAAAACATCTGTGTAACTGGCATATTATTATTCGTGCGAAGACAAGAGCGAATTGATTTTGATGCGTCGATTATTCGGGCAGATCGAATTAAGAGGAAAATTTGCAGTAGAACTTTTTCATTTTCAAACAGGGCAATCGCCTAACTTCATTATTCGTAATATTATTCGTCGATTGTAAGATTGTTTGGTTCGGTTCAATCGACGCAAGCTACAAAGCTCGTTTTCATTGATTTGATATTTTTTTTTTTTCTTACGATACGACACCACGGTTGTCGGACTCAAAAGAATTGACTTTCCAAAATGGGCGAGAGCAAAGGATTCTGTTTCATTTATTGACGATTCACGCGTGATCATATGTCTTCCAAATTACTATTTTCTTTTTTTTTTCTTTTTTTTTCGTAAGTTATCATTCCCGACACTTTCTGTGCAAGGAGCGTGCCTGTAAACAAGGATCTGATTCGCAAATTTTGTCGAAGCAACTAAGATATTCAGCATAGTGATTGTCTTATTGATATCGATTTCTAGAAAGAAGATGAGAGACGTGGAGCATCGTTAATAACTGGAATTTGGTATAATTTGCGAATCAAGTGATGGAATAAAGCCCTCTTCTCAGCGGGCCATTCAGCACAATGACTAGACTGAAATTTTAGTGTTAACAAAAATCGTGGAAAGCAACGTGTCGCGGCTCGTTCGAAACGTTCCGCTGTTGGCTGGAAAATACGGTTCTGCTAAACAGTGACTTAAAATGTAAGACTTGACCAGTAAGAATGAGAAACAATAATCGTATCACTCGTGTGCACGTGTAGATATAATATGATCGCAAAGAGAACGTTGCATACTGATAAATCTTTCACTTTGCCTGGAAAAATCGGGAACGAGTATCCGATTCTTCGTGAACTAATTAATTACTACGAAAAATATGTACTTCGGCCGTATTCAAACGACAAGTTCAAAAAGAAATGTACAAGATTTCTAGTGTCTATTACAAATACGTATGTATTCACAGGGAAGACACGAGAAACGAAACACTGGTACGTTTTTCACAAATTTAAAAAAAGAGATAAATATGTAGAACAAATTCGCCGCATCGATTAAGCGTGATACATTTTCAAATCTGTTTTAAAGTTATAAGTGGACTGCGAATTTTATGCATTCATGTGGAAAATTAAGAAAAAAAGGCTAATGTTGATATGTTTTAAAATTATTTAAGAGAGAAGCAATATTGCACCAGGCACCTACGTCTCGCTATTAATGCAGATAATTTTTAGTTTTGCATAAAGATCCGCAATTTAGTTATAAGATTGATGTCGATCGAGTACGAACATTACAAAGTGGAATATTTCACAAAAACTTGCTAATACGAAAGGGTACGTGATTATTCTACACGCAATGATAAATGGCAAATGTAAAACAGAATTTGTTCGCGTAATATTGAATTTTCAACGCAATTAAATTTGAACGTTTTTCTGATACACGTACTACTAAAGAATAGAAATTTATTAACAGATCTGATCTCGAGTTACTGTGTATCAGAAAACCTTCGAAGTTAATGCTCGCGAAACAGAAACATTGTATGAACAAATTTTTCATCTGAGATGTTCTATTTTTCCATGTAAAAGACATTCTACTTTCACCTTGTACAATTTGCATATTGATCTTTATGAAACTATGAAAACACGATCTCTTCTAAACTACTTCAAGTTGACACAGTGCAAATTACAACAACAGAATCGTAGATTATATAAATGTAATTTTACTAAATTTAACAAGCGAACATGTTATCTAATGGCAAACGTTTCGTGTAATACAAGAAAATAAAAAGCCATTTTCCCCCCAGCTACTCATTTTTGTAATGCTCGTGTTCCGCCGATATCACTTTGAACGAGTTAAAAAAAAGTGAGGAGTTGACAAATTGATCTAAAAATTTGGTTATAATTAATATTTGCGACTGCGGGAATATATAATTAAAATTTCGTTCGAATTATGTTCTACAGATTTGTCATCGATTTGAAATTCCATGAACGTACTACAGTGTTCTGTTTCTCATGGCTTACGCAGTATATAAAATAAAAATAAAAAAAGGTAGGCAAAAATTGTGTACAATACTCCAGTCTAGCTACACTATCGTCCCGTTCCTCAGATTAGTCCCGAGCGAAAGATGTATGCATATTATATGTACACACACACACACAGAGACACACGCGCAGACAGCCAGAAACACACACGTACACTCGTATATAGGAAACTCGAATTCGTACGTTCTGAGAATATAATAGACAAATGCAGCAAATAGATGAAACATTGAAATCATCAAAGAGAGACAGAGATATGTATATATATAGAGAGAGAGCGACAGAAAGAAAGAGAAAGAAAGAGAAAGAGAGAAACAGAGAGAGAGAGAGAGAGAGAGAGAGAGAGAGAGAGCGAGTTAGTGAAAGAGAAACAGAAAGATAGAAAGAGAGAGAAAAAGAAACTCTGTCTCGGTGGTTAGCGGAAAAAAATTGTTAGGTTAAAAAAGCATTAACAATCTACAAAAAGAGAACCGTTAAACTAGAAAATAACAAAAATTAATGAACTCTTACAGTGTACGTACGATGAAACAATTTGCGAAACCGTATCGCGCAGAAGTATAATACCATAGCCTCACCATAAAAGCGTGCAAAATATATGGGTGTATTAAAAACAAATGAAGAAAGAGACAGATAGAAGTCACTGAAATTAAATCATTTTCTTTCTTTGTCAAGCAGTCACCGGTTCTACCACGTTATGGCGACAATGTATTAGAAACACAGCAACAGATCAATAACTTAATTACGAACAACCGTGGTAACGAGAAAAAGAGGGAAAGAATAAAATGACCAATGATGTATATATATATATAATATGTATATTATATATATGCATATACGTATATAATAATATATAATATATAGACCGTAATAAGAATAAGAATAATGATCATAATAATAACAAATAATTCTTGCAACTGCGTAAAGAGATAATTTGCTACAAACACAGAGTCTGGTCATGCAAATAATGGCCCGGGAGAAGGGGGTGGTTTCTGCTTGGGTGGTGATCATACGCGTTTTAATTATCGAAGATGGTGGCACGTATCAAATCACATAATAAGTAATTTTGTCTTCGCAAGATATTGGAAATTCGAAAGATATTGGATCCAAGATATTGGATATTCGAAAATACTCGTTAATTACGTCTCTATCAATGTATCATAGAAATGTTATAGTATCGTATGTGATCGGCTGTTATAATAATTTTTTAATACGGTATTATTACGTATCTGTCAGTTAGCGTGAAAACATTTTGCAGTAATTCCTACAGACAACGATTGCTAAGTGTGAAATCTAGAAAATAGCGTATCTCACTTTTAATTCGTAAATATATAAATAAGCCAGAAAGTATTAACTACGGGCTTACTCAACCGTTTTGAAAGTCACTTTAACATGGTTTTAATATAATCTCTTCAAATTACACAGTTTCTTTTCCAACGATTAATATAACCGACTAATATAGATGCTATTTCACCAGAACAACTCATACTTCAACTTGTACAATAACTTCAATGAATAAATAACAGTACAGTTCAGTAAATCCTTCATATTTTACCGAACAATACCAAATTGTAATAATTATTTCAACGTCTACGTTAAAGGAAAATTTAACCTTGACATATTGGCACGAGCATAATACTCAACGTCTTGTAATAAAACTCAAATTATTATTATACGAGATTGGAATGTCTAGCAGGGAATCTATTTTGTTGACGTGATGAAATAAAAATGATCCTATCTCAGTTTAGGCTCGGTTTATGTAATGTAAAACACCGAACAGGATTCCAGTTGGTCTCTGTATCTGTTCAACTTCCTGTTACTTCGTCAAATTTCAAATGAAGTTGTCGGTGAAGTTCGTAACGCGCGTATAAGTATAAAGACGATATTACTTATAGAGTGGTTTGATGAATTAGCGGCGAGCATATTAAAAATAAAATGAAAGAAATTCCTCCGTTTGACGTGATGATCGACCATGAATCATAATTGTTGATTCGATTACACAAGGGGTTGGAGCTGCTCTCTTCATCACCCAAGCATTCGTGTGCTGCCAAAAGCCGACTCGATAAAACCGCCGGGTTTTGGTTCGCGTGCGTGAATTACAAGACTTGAAACACACACATCCACTCATTACTAAAGCTACGGAAGATAGATAAAGATAGATCCATGGGGGTACTGTTGGGGGGTATGGGGTTGATCCACGCCTGCGAACCGAAACTGCCGTAGGTGGCTGGACAAAGTCAGCGATTATTGGCATTCGTATAATGTGGATATGGGATGTCGTAAGCTGTCAAATTAATAATATTCTACTGCAAATAAGTTCAACACTATAGCAACTGCGACTCCGCAACCATAACAATAGAGCTGATTATGCTCGCAAAGACAAGGTACAAGTTAAACCGTTTGTCCGGCTTGAACCGAGAGATTTGTGGAACGCAATCGAATTGTTCAAGGATGGAGGAAAGCTTTGTCAATTGTTTTGTAGGCAGTTCAGTTAATGTGACAACGCGTAATCGTTCCTGATTTGCACCCTTTTTATCAGTTTCTTTCAGCTTTTTCCCGGCTATAGGCGTCAGAAGCTCTCTATGCAAGCGATAGAATTTTCGTGTT